TCCTCTCTCTCTCTCTCCTCTCTCTCTCTCTCTCTCTCGTTTTTTGAATACTTAGATAATGCAAAAATTGATAATTAATATCAATTTCATTTACTTTTATTATGCAATCCAAATGCACTATAAAATGATTATTTTTAAAGCAAATGTTAATATCATAATTCAATTCAGTTAAATGTAAAACAGATTTATTTGGCGTATTTTAATTTAGTAATAAAAAGCATTTAAAATAAATAAATAGAAATTTTAATAGAAAATAAAAAGGTATTGCATTTTGAGGGTCATCCCTATCTAATTAATTAACCAGTTAGTTTACAATGTTAAACCAAACATGTTTAGACCAAGATACGTTAATTTATCAATTGTAATGTACCAGTATGTGTATTATCAGACATATTAAATCTTGAACGCAATATTTTCTAGTTATACGTATTGTTTTTCAAACATAATAAATAATTTATTGAATAAATTAAATTTATAAAATTAAGGTTAACTTGTAATAAATCATAACAAAAATAAAATATTGTTGTCAAGTATATTCTAAAAACAAGGTAAGTAATATATCAAATACCTAGAACACCTTTACGACACTAACTAACATAAACCACAAACATTAACTTTTAAGCAAGGTATATAAACCAGACAAAACCATATGAAATCAAAATTGTATTTGAGAAATAAAAATACTTTTAAATAGAATTTGTAATTAATTTCTGAAAATAATGTCTAAACTATTGCTCGTATTCCTAGTACTGGTAGCCTATGCCTCAGCCCAGAGACAAATGGGCCAGGCTGGTCTTAACCTGCTAGAAAATGCCGAGGGCTTTGTGGCTACATTTTACTACGACCAAATTGTAAGCATAATTACACACTTACTTACTTTATATTTTATTTATTCATTATAAAACTTTCATTAAGCATTATACTTGTTAAAATTGTATTTAAATTTAATGTTTAATAACTTATATTGCAACAGGGACAGAAAACAATAGGCTACGGACACGCGTGTATATGGCATAACAATTGCGATGATATCACACCACCGATTACAGAGGCTCAGGGCACCCAGATACTCATGTCAGACCTGGTTGAGTTTGAGCAGTGTGTCCAAACAGCGGCTCCTAATTTGAATCAGAATCAATTTGATGCCGTGAGTAGATTATAATACTTTAATTTTTACGTACAAAATTAACTAGAGTTAAACATATAATATTACCATTTTACACATAATTAACAAAAATATACAACCAGTTTAATTTAAGATGAATTTTATTATGAAGTATTATTAAAACATATAATAAATATCAATGTATGGACTTCATTTACTATAATATTAATATTTCAAACAATTAAAGTATCTAAATTAATTAATTGAATTAAGTTACAGTCTAATGCTTTATTATTTGAATGTGTATAGTGTGTGGACTTTGCATTTAACATGGGTTGCGGTGCGTTTCAGAGCTCAGACATCCTGACAAACATAAACGCCGGTAACTTTCAGGCGGCCGCCAATGCGTTCACTGAGTACAACGTGGCCGGGGGTCAAGTGATCGACGGGCTAACTGTCCGCAGACAAAACGAGAAGAATTTATTTCTCAGTTAAAGTTTGATTTAATAAAATCTCAAAATTTATGTATAATATTGAGTATATTTTAAGAAATATTTAAATATGAATTTAAGTTGAATAAAAGCGTGATTTAAAACAAATAAAATTTTATTTATCAATTGCCTAATATGAATTATGTATGGAAAGCGACAAATAACGTTAGAAAAATGTAAACGTTTATATAATTACATAATATGTTTATTATTGTGATTATTATGATATTATATTGATACATAAGATTATTTATTCTTAATTATAATTGGTATTGTTTTGCAGAGAATAAAACAAAATTTTAATCTTTATTATTTTAAATAAAAGTCTTCATTATTATACGTTTTTATAATTTATTTTGATTGTCTTTATTTCGTACAAACCCGTCTCATATGTGATTACGTTAATATAATTTTAATATGTTATTGCCATTTAATGTTACACAATGTCTTAAAAAGATTATCTTAATATGAAAATTGTTCAAATCATGTTTTAACTTTTATTACTAAATTTATTAAATTATTTAAATAATTTTGTAAGATTTTCGAAATGACTTGTTAAATAATTAATAATGTTTCCTAGTAATTGCAAATAATAAATTATAGCTGTTTTGATTATATTATATTATTTTAGACTTGAATTATATGGTCAAATATCACGAGCAAATCAAATGTAACAAATGTTGTCAAGCACTTTTTAGCTACGTCATTTTAAAACGTATTTACTAGTGAGGTACATTGAAACAATTTAATTAAATGTAAACAAGATTTACAATACTACACATTAATAATTATGAACGCTTGCAATATAAATGATTTATAATAAAATCAAACATGCGAATCTTAAAAAACTCATTAATTATTAAATCAATTAAAAGTACTGCTAGAAATTTAATAGATACAAGCTCATTGAACACAAAAAACATTTGTTTAAAACTTTAAGATTAATTTGACAACTAATTTTCCAGTGGCTATAAAAACAAAGTGAAATCAGTGCCGAATTCACACAATTATTTCATTACAATAACTAATTGTAAAACGAAATACATATCAATAAAATGGCAAAGATTTTGATTGTCGTGTTAGCACTGGTAGCCGTAGCCGCGGCTCAACAGCGAAAGATTGGTTCAGCCGGTTTGTCCTTGCTCAAACAGTCCGAGGGATTTGTGCCAAACTTCTATAAAGACCAGATTGTATGTATCAAAAACAATATTATATTTTCTAACAATAAATATGTTTATAATTTTGTGAATAGGGATTACAAACGATAGGCTACGGACACGCGTGTCAATGGCAGGGATGTGCCGGTATTAACCCTCCCATCACCGAAGCCCAGGGCACTCAAATCCTCATGAAAGACCTTGTTCAGTTTGAGGACTGTGTCAACACTGCCGCACCCGGACTCACCCAGAACCAATACGATGCCGTGAGTATTAGTTTTGTTTTTTAACATTATTGTTATTTATAGCATATTTTTGTTTAATGTTATGTTAATTGTTATCTAAAGAATTTAAAGTTAATAAAAACTACTTAATAATTAATTTAACTTGCCCTAAGCTTAACTCCAATATTTAACAAATGCCAACCTACAAAATAATACACTATTTAAAATATATTAAATTACAGTTTAATATATGAAATAATTTTTTGGTTACAGTGCGTGGACTTTGCATTCAACATGGGTTGCGGTGCTTTCCAGGGCTCCGACATCCTGAGAAACATCAAGGCCAAAAACTACCAAGCTGCCGCCAACTCGTTCGCTGAATACAACGTGGCCGGGGGTCAGGTCATCGAGGGGTTGACCGTTCGCCGACAAAACGAGAAAAATCTGTTTCTTAAAAAGTAATCTCAAAATTGTTTTAATATTTGCCTAAAATGTGCACAAATTCTCAAGTTATTATTTTCAAAATTCATAAATAAAAAATATTTTTGTCAGTCAAAAAAATTGTTATTTAAACTCCATGTTGTTGACCTTGTCCACTAGTAACATAAAAAAATCTAATACTTGGTTAACATATATTTATGAAATCAGTTTACAGTTTGGTCAAAATATTCAAAAACTAAATATTCAATAAATTATCATTAAAATATTAATGTAAAATTTAAATTATTTTTGAACCTGGCTAAATAATAAAATATTAAAAACTTATTCAATAATACTTTACAAATTTTTCTTAATATTTAATAACATATTTTTCTTAGGCAATGAAATTAAAATTAATTAATTAATTAAATTTTGATATCTCTCCACCGTTGTATTGATTAAAAACTTACATCAAATTATGTGTGAAAGTACATAAAGTACTAGAAATCAGATTTTTATAAAGTTACATGTATATAAAGAACTTATCAATTATATAATTATAAATAAATCATTTAAAGATTTATACGTAAAATATATGTTATTAATTTTAAGATTAATTAATAGTTTTAAAACATCAATGCAGTGTACATTTACACAATATAACTATCATGTATTGTGCCTAGTTACTATACATTTCAAAATTAATTACTAAATCAAGAATTGTATTTGTATAAAATTGTTTGGTATAAATGAAATCACCATTCATTGCATAATTAATACACATTTCTCATTACAATTATAATCGTAAGCAAAAATATATCAATAAAATGGCAAAGATTTTGATTGTTGTGTTAGCAAAAACCAGGCTCAGTCTGGTTGTCCCTGTTTATTTATTTAAGCCTGATTAAGTGAAATGGAAATTTACCTAGAGCCTGTTGTTATTGTAATACAAACTAGCAAAAATATTAATTAATTATTAGTTATTTTCCACCACTTTTATATGCGAGGTACTATAAAAGTTGTGCATAATCAATTGTTAAACTTCATAATACAATAGTTTTAATACTAATTGTCTTACAAAACAAACTTCAATATAATGGCAAAGGTTTTGATTGTGGTGTTAGCGCTGGTAGCTTATGGCTCAGCCCAACAGCGGCAAATTGGCCAGGCTGGTTTGAACTTGCTCAAACAATCGGAGGGATTTGTGCCAAACTTCTATAACGACCAGATTGTATGTTTAATTGCAAATAATAATCTTTTAAACTTTTGAATTAATTATTTTAAAAATATGTATTAATTTGTGAACAGGGATTGAAAACAATAGGTTACGGTCACGCCTGTCAATGGCAGGGGTGTGATGGTATTAACCCTCCCATCACAGAGGCTCAGGGCACTCAGATCCTTGAAAAAGATCTGGTCCAGTTTGAGGACTGTGTGAACCAGGCTGCACCTGGACTTAACCAGAACCAATACGATGCCGTAAGTATATGTTATCACATTTAACCATGTATACCCTACAATATTACTGTTACGGTACTTAATATTAAGTTATTATAACACTATTTTTTAAATTAAACACAAGAATTTATATTTTGTAATACAGTATTAAAACTGATACAAAAAATTTAAATCATATATTTTTGTTAATATTTATAAAACAAAACAATATACACCAATTTGTTTCACTTGTTTCTAAATATAAATAGGTTCTTGGTATAAATAACTTAATTTACAGTTTAATGTATGAAATATTTATTTTTAAATAGTGTGTGGACTTTGCATTCAACATGGGTTGCGGCGCTTTCCAGAGCTCCGACATCCTGTCCAACATAAAGGCCGGTAATATGGAGGGGGCGGCCGATGCTTTTGCCAAATACAACGTAGCCGGGGGTCAGGTCATCGAGGGGTTGACCGTTCGCCGACAAAACGAGAAAAATCTGTTTCTCTCGTAAATACAATTCATTGTAATATTGTATTCAAAATCTTCGATTACTTTATTATTGTTTATTTCAATAAAATTTAAATTTGCAAACTTGTTGTTCATTGAATACCGTATATCATATAAATTATTATACTTTCTTACAGACAGAAAAAGTGAGTCAAAGAATTTAGTTCATACAAAATATTAAGCATGCTATATATTTTATCATGATAACTTTTTAGTTTTGTATTACTGTACTGTAAGAATTAAATAAAACCGTATTGTGCATTTTATAAAATCTTTTATTTAAATAATCTTAGTTGAATAAAATTAACATTGGGCTTATATATCGTATTAAGTTTAGATTGATTTATGTTAATATAACTGAATATAAGGTTAGCCATAGTTTTCAATGAGATAATAGTGAACAAAATATAGAAATGATTGCGATATTCACGTAAGAAAACACACGTATCTTGAGATGAATACGTGGAGAATTTGTTGCCAAAATGAAATAGCACCTTTTTGATTATTACTAATATTATCATTATAAACATTCCTTTTGTGGTGCGGATTGTACGGGTGATTTTGTTGCTACTATATCCGGAACAGTTTTCTAATTTTTCCTAATTTTTCCGATAATAATAAACTGTTTGTATGTAAAAATATATGACCATAACCGTGGGAATCGCAAATTCCGTATACATACGTAACATTCTTGTATTTGGTTTGATACCCAACCCGGTTAGCCAATCATTAATAGTATTATTGCCGTTAATACAAATATATAATTGAGCTTGATAATCGTAATATAGTACATAGCTCGTTGCCAAAAATGGCAGAGATAATACCATACTTAATAACCATATTATCGCTAATATCTTTACGGTGCGTGTATTATTCATCCAGTTTAACTTAGGGTATCCATGTTTAAAAGTCAAATACCTGTCCCATGCGATCAACACCATAGTAAATGACTCGATGTATAGTCGGCACGAATC